CCCCCACAGGATCCCTGCCAGCCCAAGCTCCATGCTCCTGCTGCTCCTGGCCCTGGGGAACCGGTGTGACCCTGTGCTCCTGCTCACAGTCTCTTCCCCACATCTGCCACCACTGCCCTTCTGCTGCTTCCCCGTTCCCCCCACAACAGCTTGCCATTCCAGCACCATGTTTCAGCTGCACAGCCAAGACTGCAGGACACAGCAGGAGTTGGACAGAACCGGCCAGCATTGCACGGACCCAGCCAAGAATTGCAGCGGCCGGGCTGGCTTCTGCTGTGTTCTGCAGCCCAGCACTGCAGCTGGGAGCCACATGGTGCCAGAGTGACTAGCAGGGGGGGTTGAGAGGTGCAGTGGCAGCCTCAGGCAAATGGCTGCAGCAGGCAAGGGGTGAGTGGGAGCAAGCAGGTGAATGGGAAAGAGCAGGCATGTGGAGCACAGCAACAGCTGGATGGGAGCACGGGGCCAGTACCAGTGAGGCCCAGAGTGGAGTGGCAGAAGTGCAGGGAGGGGGTCAGCAGGGCTCTGTGGAGACAAGCTGGGTTATGCCAGCAGGGAGAGGGGGAGCCAGCCCGGCTCCAAAACTCCTGCCAGCCTAGCCCCATGCTCCTGCTGCTCCGCTCTGGGCCTTGCCAGGGCTGGCCCTGGCGCACCAGTGCGGGCTCCATGCTCCCGTCCAGCTGTCGCTGTGCTCCACATGCCCACTTGCTATGCCTTCCCCCACCTGCTGCCGCTTTCACCACTTTCCTGCCCGTGGCTACCGCTGCTCTTCACTCCCCCCCCAGCCACTCTGGCACCATGTGGTTCCTGGCTGCAGCACTGAGACCACAGCAGCTGGCTCGGCCTGGCCCTGAGGACTGAGGTGATTGCCTGCAGTCCTCTCCTGCCTCTCCTGCTCTCTTCCCCCAAACTTATCTGAATGTCCCTCTGGCACAGGGAGGCAGGAACAGCCCCACAGTCCCAGGCCAGAATCCTCTGCTCAGCATGGGGATTCTGGCTTGGGGTAGGGCCAGGCAGGCCTTGCTTCTGCAGCCGCCTGGTCCTTTTGGTGGCTTCCCCTGGGTCCTACTGCCCCTGACTCCTGTCATCTTTCACAGGCAGCCACGGGCAGATAAATATTAATTTTCTAAACTTTTTAGGGGCCCCACAGGCTAGATAGAATGGCATGGTGGGCCAGATCCAGCCACAGGCCACGTTTATCCCACCTCTGGTTTAATGTAATAATGAAACATTCAGTGCAAGTGTAATGCAGATTTCAGGATTCTTTTTAATGTTCCACACAGCTATGTTCAAGAGAACAGAAGAATTATCGCACATAGTTTACATATTTAGTTAAAATACTAAAACTGGAGGATAAATCAACTTTCCTTGACTCAACCTCCACAGATTATAAAGCCCTGGGCAGCAAATTGTTATTAAACAAAAAAGAACAGCCATAGATATAGATCACGAACTACAGCAACAATAGAAACTATTTTCTGTTATAAACAAATAAAAAGGAATGGATTCTCAACTGAAGCAAATGGATGCCACTAAATAGAGCTATGTCCAGTTACTACAGAGCTGACAAATTTCCTGAAAACTTATGTTGTGGCTGAAGATATTCTTACTTCATCACAGAATAATAATGAATTTTCTTATAAAAGCTGTGGTAAATCTCATTAACCAGTTTGGGCATAAAAAGGGGAACAAAACTACCTCTTCTTACTTTAACCCTATTTTCATTCACATATTTCAATACAACAGCAACAGAACATAGAGAGCCAGGTAGAGAGAGAAAACTGCTGAAAAGCTGCCCTCTATTTTAAAGGAAGAAGTCCAAAGTCTATCACAACAGCGTGACAGTTTATCTAAAACTACTGGACACAACTGCTGCAGTAGTATAAACAAATCAGACATTTCCACATACAGATAGGTAGAGACAGTCATCTAACTCTTAAGACCACACATTTGTCTACATGTTTGTCCATGGAACATAGACATTAAAAAAATCTAATGCTGAAAACTCAAGCTTAGGACAGAATTAGTCCTTTTTGAAAATAGTATATTCTCAGAAATGCTTAAAAAAAACAGTTCTAAGTTGCAGTTAGATGCATATAATATACCATGGTGGGTATGGACAGCAGAAAATTTATCTAATTTTGAATAAGCATGGTTCCTAACAGACATAAGCAAACGGAAAAGAGAAAATATATCAGTTGTATTTTGTTTGTAACTGTTACAAATAATTTCCGTCTTAAGCCAAAACTTCACATGCTCAGAAACATCCGAATGAGACATTTTCCTAGGAAGTCAAAGGGCCTTGTTACACGGTAATTTGGGGTGGTTCCTGGAGCTCTTAACCCTTGGATTGTCAACACATTACCACCTGAACCTGTTATGCACTCGTTATGCAGCTCTAAGTTACACCACTCCGGAGCAGAATTATCTCTGATTCATGCTACTCAACTCCTATTACACATGCAGCCACATGTAGGCTACACCTTTTCATGTAAACACCCTACCTGCTCCCCCCACCCCTACCCTGGGCCCTCCCAAGCACCCAAGACCTTGGCTCACTTCACCCCTTCCTGCAACCCCTCCATCCTCTTACCTTTCAGTCCTCCAGGTTCCTGCTGGCCTGAAGTGTGACTGCTCCAAACTCAAGCAAGCACTAACACCCATCAACATTTGTGCAGCTCACAGTGTAAGGTGTAACAAGGCCCTCTGAGAAAGATAGCCTGAGTCACTCAGTTAAACTACGTGTGGAGGCTATAATACATTTTCTGGGTGTAAATACTAAAAGGTTTTTATATTTTAAAGCTATTCCTTAAGAGTTCTGTTTGAAATGTACATATTGTCTCTGAACTATTAAATTAAGGGAAGGATAGAAGTTTGCACACAGAAAAGACATTTCTACAGAGTAGGCATAAAAGAAAATCCAGTCAGATTAATCTGAATGGAAACAAAGAGCTTTGAAGCCAAACTACCTGAATCAGGTATATACATATAGAACATCAACCCAACTTTAAAAGAACATAACAACTGGTACAGCATATGAACAGAGAGAACCCTAAACTGTCAGATTTAGGATTTTTAATAGCTTTATAAAATTACACACTGTATGTCCTACCTTTGAACGCCGCCTGAACGAGGAAAGATTTTTTCATTCAATAGCGCAAGGACACTATCCCAGTTTCTCAAAGTGAATCTGGGTATGAGAAATTTTGCAGGTGGGACAAGAACTTCTCCATTTGTGAAAACACTGTCAAAGGAAAATATACATGTTTCTTTAGTAATGAAAGACATGAAAAGGGAAAGACAAAAATATATCAGTTTGGTAACATCATGTAATCAGAATCATTAGTGGCACTTCGGCCACTTAGGTTTCAAGACCCCTTAAATGTTAGTCCATTTCATAAACACAAAAATTCAATAGTGAAATATTTCTATTTGGACAACCCAAGAAAAATAAAGTCTTGAAAATGCAATTACTTTCTCTCCATGCTGTCCAAATGTACCCTCAAAAATTCTACAGAAAATAACATCCCAGCCTTTAAAAGAGATTATAAAATCAATTGGTTAGTTTCACTGCTGTCCGTATTAGAAAATGTGTCCTACTCACCTTTTAAGAGTAACTGAATCACATTTTGGCTGACTCTCATTTTTAGAAGAAAATCATGCTGAATAATAAACCATAGGCAGCATGCAAGGCATGCTGGATGGCTCCACACATTGCATGCAGTACTTTCCCTAACTCACATCCTGGAATGGCCACCTTGTGCCACACAGCCCTGCTGCATGTAGCACAGCCGCACAGGGCTGTGCTGCATAGCCCTGGAGCCCCAGAGCAGCTTCCCTGTACAAGGGCTGTGCTGCATGCAGTGGCCGCTTCACCACTCCAGGATGCAAACACACACAGCGCCCACTCCAGATCTGGAATGGTAGGCCAGTCTGTGTGCCCACAGGGCCGGATGAATTTGACACTCCTGTCTTCCATCATCAGTGGGGAGTAGAGACAACAGAAGCAACCCAAGCAGAGGCTGACTGGAGAGAATGTGCTCACTATTCCTTTTAGCTCTAATCGCTGCAGAGGACATGGGGTATTCTGTTGTAGATAACAGGATTTCTCCTGAGAACCCTGCAGGCCAAAGTACATTGAAATAGGTTAGGGAGAGCTCACCCTCTCAACCTTGGGAGATGACTGTGTGTGGCAAAGGACAGTTCAACAAAACCAGAGAGAGGAATGGGAGCTCCTCTCTACTTCAAAACAGCTAAGTTAAAAACATTCATTAAAAGAAAGTACTTCTATTTATATGATCTGTTATTCATTCTGATCTTAATTTTTCTATAGAATCTTACTTAGTTCTTTGAATTCTGTTTAACACATTTTAGTACTTCCTTATTAATTTTTTAAGCTGACACGCAGGTTATGAGTGTCAGTTTAAGATTTTATCACATTAAGCATAATATTAAGCTATGGAAAAGCACTGACCTATTATTTGTAGACATGTTTGTATCACAGCACCAAACTATCCTACATACGTGATTCTGCCTGGAACCATTAGCACATCCAAAATACAAAACTGTGCGTGAAAGAACCATGTTACAAAACATGTTGCAGATTCTGTTCAAGCATTGTTTTTTGTTGACTTCAATTAATACAAATGCCCCAAAGCAGAAGTGACAGCCCTTCTGTGTGAAGTGCCAGATTCTATAGTTTTAAGATTTTAAGCATAGTTAATGTCTAAAGTATTCACTTAAGTGTATTTACTGCTACCACCTAAGAAAAGTGTTTAGGTTCACATGCTTCCAGCCTCCTCTTGAAAACTACTCTATTCAGAACATTTTCATCCCAATAAAACCATGTTTCCTTTCCCCCTTTTATTCTTCCATTCCATTGCTCTCTTCTTTCTTTCCTTTTAACTCAGCCAGTGCTCTAAATCCTAGTTCCACTATGTCAGCATCAAACTTACCAAATCCTTGTGCTCTCTCTGTAATACTGCAGCCTCCTCTCTGTCCTCACAAATAATCTCATCATTCCATATAAAACATGGCTGTTAAAGTCACCCTGGTCCAATATGAAGATGCTTACCTACTCTCTGAAGACCTCTCCTTTAAAGATCCTTTACCTACTTGCAGAACTTTACCACGTTGCCCTACACTACCACTCATATTGTGATTCCCACAAGAGGTACAACAGACATCTATTTAATTCATTGTGTGTACCAAAATGTACACAAAAACTGTTCAAATGTACTGTGCAGCACTGGGAAGGTAGTAATCTTATAACTATAATTATGGGCTCAGTCTTCTACCACAAGCTTTCCCCAGAACAAATGGAGAACAGATGCAGGTACAAGAAACAAATTTCAGCTACTTTTACTATAACTGTTTACAGTAGCTCAGAGCCTGATCTAACTTCTACCAGAGACATTAGGTCTATAACTGACCTTGAATAAGAAGTGTAGATTTTTGGAGACAAACTCCTTACCCCAGGCCAGAGAAGAAGCCTGGCATAGGAGACAGCTCTGCTAGCTTTTATATCAACAGTGTGTTTCTATATGAACAATATTTTCCACTGAACTGTTGTGTCTTAAATCAGCCACTTTCTAGGGACAGAAGTTACACATAAACCAATTTAAGTGCCAGAAATGGGTTTAAACCTGTAACAGAACAGAAGTTCAGTGAATATAAACCACTTTCAAAATGTTCAAAACCGGTTTAAAATAAACCTGGATGGATGTAGTATCAGACTTAACCGATTTATGTCAAACCAGTTTACGGAACTTCTGTCCCAGATCCCCTCCTGATTCGCACTCGGGAACCAGCAGCAGGAAGGAGAGGATCCAGGCACACGTGTGTCCCGCACGCACGCGTGCCCCCTTACTAACTTGCTGACCGGAGGCGGCAGCAGCAGCAGCAGTGGAATCGGCAGGGGGGGGAGCCACAACCTGTACCCCCCAGGGGAGAGGGGGAC